GCGGATACAGACTAACATGGCTGCTACTCTGATTCCCATTATTGCAATCCCTTGCTTACAACTACCCCCAGACACTCCCTTTTTGTATTTCCAATTACCCCCTCTTTAAATTCCCCAACTCCCTACCCATTTCCTTCCCCCTCCCCAAACTCTTCTCCCCAGGAATCCCACTCCTCCACTTCCACATACATGCAGAATTCTCCACCCAAAACCCACCTTTGCATGGAATTCTCTCCCTCCCCATTCCTCCACAAGCCCCTGACCTCCACTCACTATATAAAGCTTCAGAAATCCTTTTTGTTTCACTTGGAAGTAGCAAATAATTGTTTGTCCTAAGACTACAATTATCTCTTTTCCTCCCCACCTCCACCCCCCAAGAACCTGCAATGGCAAGACAATCTCAGATATTCCCAAAGGACAAATCACAAGGCCTGTTAGCAATTCACAAATTCTCAGTAAGCAATACGCCAGCTATAGTTACTTTTGGAAGAGGCATTATAACTTGCTTACAGTCTAGAAAACCATATGGTTTTTTATCCAGTTATTTTGACAATTGTATTAATTCTATTCAGACAGACCTTTTTTTTTTATTAGTTTCATTTAATAAGCTGAGCGTAGATGGTGGGGACAGAAATCTTGATTGTGGATTTTACAGTAATGTCACTATAATGTACTTATATATATTTATGTAATATATAGTAAATAAAGTATGGGACATTGTTCACTATTATAACAATTTTAATACTATATCTTGTTTTTTGTGTATTCCCTTGCCTGCTCCCTGCACTAAAGTAAAACTTGCCTCCTCTCTGTCCTTTCCCATAGTTTCACCATTGGTTGTGTAAGAGCCTTCTGTGCAGCTCCCACCTTCTGAAGCAGTTGTCCAAGTAGACCGCTCCATCATTGAATCCCTACCTCTTTTTAAACCTTCTTTTAAACAAAATATTTTCCCCTCTCAGTCTACACCTCTTGAATGGAATCTTTTTATTTACCATACAATATCTTTCTACCAACATTCCCTGAATTTTACATTGTATGCTACCTGCATATGGGTAGATCCAGTGAGGATTTGCACAGCCCCAGGGACCTGCCATAAAAAGGGAATTGCAGGATTGAGACCTAATTTTGCAAAGTGTTTTAGGGATACACCTTGTTTGGAAGGCACTATATAAAAATAAGTTCTGATCCTCAATCGTTTCCTAGAATGACTAATCCCATTAAGTTGGAGTACTTGTGAGAATAAAGATTTACAACAGCAGGCCCTAAATGGTGTATTGTATCATTGTTGTTTTGTTGTTTTCTTCTCCCCTTGGGTGACTTTAGTACTACCCTAGATTTGGATAGTTATTAGCACTGAACACAATTGCTAAATATAGTAACTGTACAGCCATTTTACTATGCAGTTTTGTCTCTGTGACCTAGATTCTAGTATTTTTTTTAACATACATTTTCAGCAGACATTGAGAACAAAATGCCTGATGATATTTTGCATCACTAAACTAAAAATTCATCCAGGCACATATTCACAGAACTGATATATTAGCATGGATTAATGTTTTTCTTTCTAACACATTACATGATAATTTCCTTCAAGATTATTACCCAAGGTCAAACTATGCACTAGGCCAGTAGCTTCTGCAGCAGTTGGGGAGTGGTGTGGGAAGGGAGGAACTCACCTACCTCCCAGGCTGCAATTTGCAAAGCCGCTCTCCAACTGTTATTCTCTGGGGTTACAGTAACCTTGTCTGCTGAGTGGTTCTTCCCATTCTGCGGAGTTTTGGCAGGTAGATCTACATAGTAATGGATCTATTGGTCTCATCCCAGCTATTGCCACAGTCCACCTCTTAAAACCTCCCCTGTGTGCTGGGATGGAGGGAGCCCCCCACCTCCAATCATGAGGCTGAGCTTTACAGTGCTCAGAATGTTCATATATGGTGAGTACTCTCCACATATACTCATCTCCACTCAGAGCCTTCCACACTCTCATAGAGGGAGGGGGAGAGAGAGAGATCCCTATTTGATGAAAGCAGTTACCCAGTTTTGGGAGTCTTCAAGGTTGTTTCATTTAGGAGAAGAAACAGGTGGTGGAGTCCGGTATGTTATTTTTTGATACAATCCTGTTTATCTGCAATGAATTATAAAATCCTGTTTCCATGAATGCAGTAGGACTCAAACAACAGAAGATTTGGTCACAGTTCCCAGCCTCTTTCTACAGCACTTTACCCAAAAGCTCTCATCTTTTTTCTGAGGCTCATACTACTTCTCTTATTGTGCCTGGGCTTCTCTAATCTTTCCTTGTCTCAGCTGCTTCCCTCACACAGTTCTGACTCCAGGGGCTAGGCCTTTAAGGAAAAAACATGATTGCAAAACTCACAATAAAATCACAAGAGTTGGTAACACTGATTTTCATTGCCCCAGCGCTGTTTCCAGGAGAAAGTTTCTCCACAAAATGAAAAATCAGCATGTTTCAAGCTATTAAACATTTTATTTTGGAGCAAACAACAGAATCGCTTCTCCACCGGGTCACTGGTGGTGCTGCTGACAGCCGGAGGCTGATTTCCTTTTGCAGAACTGGACTTTGCCGCAGCTCTCGGCCCCTCCCGAAGCCCTAGGAAAACAGCTCCCTGCAGTGGCAGAAGCAGGGGCTGCCCCGCTGAGAGCACAGCCTGGCCCCTCCTGCCTTTGCCGGCTGTGCTCGCGGGAAGAGGCTCTCGATAAAGTTAGATTTGAATAGCCAGGAGTCAAGATGGCAGCCTGCGTGGGGAAAGCGGCAGCAGGTAGACGCTGAGCGGTGCAGCGGGAGCGTGCGGGGGTGGGAAGGGGTGGTCTGCACGCGCCCGGGTTTAGCGTCTCCGGGAGTCGGCCTCGCCTTGTCCGCTGCCCAGCAGAGAGCCCTAAAGCACGAGCACGTTCAGTAGCCCAGCTCCGTCCCCTCAAGGGGCCGGTTCGCAGACCCTGCACATGAGCTGAATAAGGGGGACAGGTGAGGATGGGGAGAGACACGTGTTAAATGGCGGGTGGGGGGAGAGTTTATGGCAGGGAAATTGCACATGCTAAATATAGGGGTAAAAACAAGCTATACAAAGTACACCTGTCAGAGGAACAGGGTGTACTGACAACGGTGGAGGGCGTGGAAGGAGAATTGCACCTGGCAAAGATATTTAGGAGGAAAGTGCAGATCACACATGCTGAGTAGGTGGCTCCTCGACACTGACTCAGTGGATAGGACATGGGACTTAGCCAAGAATCCTGGCTTGTATTTTTTTTTGACTCTGCCATAGATTTGTGTGATGTTTGGTAAGTCACTTAGCTTCTGTGACTCAGTTTCTCTTTCTGTAAAATAGTTGTAGCCTTGTAAAAGCTATTGATATTGACAGATTATAATTTATTATTTTAATTAATTGTGAGAAGTAATGAAATTGTGTGTGACAAGTATTTCTGTACAGTTTAAATGCTCTATTTGTGTGTGTGTGTGATCCTAATAATTCAAACTGCTGGGCTGTGGAGTGTTACAGTTTTAGATTCTGATCCTTCAAGTTCCTCTGCATGGTCAGATCTCTGCATAGAGCCCTCTTGTCTTTAACGGGTGCACAGTGTTTTCCCCAGGAATTGAAATTAGGGCGGGTGTTTGAATTTACAAAGGGGGTCAGAACCGATGAGGGGTGAGACCGTGAGGGTGAAGGTGGGCTGTATGGCACCATAGTAAAAACTGAAAAATGTTTCATGACTATTTTATTAGATTTAACTCCTGTTCTAAAATCATCACACAAATTAAAGTTGGCTACTCAAGCCTTCTATGAAGCACTACATCTACATCCTTCTTGGTTTCTTGTTATAATTTTGCACAACTCTGTTAATGAACTTCTTGAATGCAATGCGTTCATCTTTGGTGGCTTCTCATGTGTCCGGTACTTCCATTCCTTCAGTTGGTATGCTCATTAGTTCATTCACATGATTAGGCAGAAGTTGACATCATTAAGAACACAAAATTCTATTCAATGATGGAAAAAGAACACTCAACTGTAGCTGTTATGACTGGGAGTAGCAAGAGATGAATTCCTACTTCTTTCATCCCAGGAAACACAGCATAAAGGTCGGGTTGAGCCATTAGTGATGATAAAAAAGAAGTTGAAGTCAAATCTTCATTCATTCGTTGTATGATATTCCACTCTGTGTTCAAATTCTCTATTCTGGCCTGAGCACATAGCAGCCCCATTGCTGGTAGTGCCTCACTCCACTCAACTGTTGGTGTTTTATAGGACAGGGATTTGTAAAAGCTACATAGAGGTTGAACAGAATCTAGAAGTCTAGAACAGAATCAAATTAGTCCAGTGATGATGGCATTGTTTAATGACCCAAGTGGTTTCAACAGTCGACTTACAAGAGAGAGAATGGCAGTAGTCTTCTCTGAACGTAGTAGCAAAAGTAATCCACCAGCCTCACTACTTAGATTCATCCCATCTTGGTAGATACTTTCCAAAGTCAGTAATAATGGCTGGAGTAATTTTAAGACAACAGCCAAGGATCACTCATGAGAAAGCCAGAGGGTTTTCTGCTGCAGTTTTAAGGGAGAGTTCCTCAAGCATACTTGAGAATTGTGCCTAAGGGCGTCATCCTGTAACTGTGACTCTCATGTATAACCTCTCTCACATGTATTATTATTGGGTTCAATGGGACTCTGCATGTGTTTGATGTAACCATTACATTGGTTGTGCAGCTCCCATTGACTTCAATGATGCAGGATCAGATACTTAATTACAATACATTACAAAAATAAAATATGTGCTGACTTAATTTTATGATGGATGCTGCATCAGCCTTTTAAATTGTTTTGTCTGTACTAGAGTGCAAGCTCCCCATGGAGGGAGCTATTTTTTGTGTGTCTGAATTCTCCTGAACACTCTACTGGTGGTCAGTGAACACCAATATAATGAATTGGACTGAATAGGTAGTCCAAATAGATACTGCTTAGAATCATTAAGAATTATATTTTTAAAAGTGACATAACATGCATTCTGTAATCTCAGTGAAAGGGGGAAGATGACAAAGAAATACATGAAAACAGGATCCACAGAATTTTCTTTAAAGGGCAATGTCTCTGAATCATCTCTAGAAACATGAGACACCTTTAGATGGGTACATTTAAAAAGTAGGTCTTCAAAATACCCCTTGGACACTGATGCTGACTGCATTAGAAGAAGAAAGAAAAAAGAAATTGCATATAAGAATTTATCTAAACGTGGTCAGCATTTGCAAATTTCAACCAGGAAAAATGTTTGTCAAAGTAGCTCTGGGCTACACAAGCAGAGAGCCTGGTTCTTCTCTTATATACAGTGGAGTAAATCAAAAATAATTCAGTTAAAGTCAATGGAGAGACATTTGTCTGACTAAAGAATCTATCTCAGAAACCAAAAAACAGTCACCAGAAGAAAGCAAACGTATTTGCTTTAGATTACAAAGGCCATGTTTACGCTATGGATGCTACAGCGGAATAGCTATAGCACCATAGCTATGCCACCGTAACCCAGTAGTGTAGATGCAGGCTACAGCAATGGAAGAGGTTTTTCTGTTGCTGTAGGAACTTCACCTCCCTGTGAGTTAGTGGCTAGGTTGACAGAAGCATTCTTCCATCATAGCGGTGTCAAAACCGGGGCTTAGGTTGGCCAAGCTATGGCCGTCAGTGGGCATGAATTTTTCACACCCTTGAGCATCGTAAGTATGTCAACCTGAGTTGTTTACGTGTAGACCAAGCCAAAGAATACAGAAACTGGAAAATACGTAAACCAAGGTATTCAGTATGTTCTACAAAACATCCAAAGCCCCAGTGCATCCTTGGCACAACTTCATAGCAGAATTGTGCATTTGAGGGTGTGAAGAAGTTGAGAATACATCAAAGGCTTCTGATACTCAAGCTTGGCCTTGAGGCATTGGGAGCTTTGACACTGTCTAAAGCAAACTGGCATAAAATGTAACCACTGGTTTAATGTATACATACTTTTATCTCATTCTGGCACCAGTAGTCTAGTGATGGGAGAGATGCCATGCCCTGCCCTGCCCTGCTTCTCCTGTCCTCACTGTAGCTCCCTGCCCCCCCAAAAAATTCGAGCATCCATTGTCAACAGATTAACTTTTTAGCAAGCCATTTTATGTATCAGGATATGCAGTTTCCTGCAATATCATGGACAAACTTTACTGAATTAAGTTTAAGTATTTTAGGAGTTAATTGTATTAAAAAGGCAAATGTTTATGTATTATTGTGGGATTGTATGGGACTTCTTTAGGAAACATGACTAAGGGAAGCCCTGGGAAGTGTTGTGAGCTTCAGAAGATTCTTCTAAACAATGGGCCAGATAGGAATGAACTTTTAGGGCAGGTCTACTTTACTGCTTGTCGATCTAACTTACGTTGCTCAGGGTTGTGGAAAAGACACCCCCTTGAGTGACAAAAGTTACAGCGACCTAAGTATGTCCATACTGGTGTGTTGATGGGAGACGATCTCACGCTGACATAACTTCTGCCTCTCGCACAGGTGGAGTAATTATGCCAACGGGAGAGCGCTCTCCCTTCGGCATAGAGCACCTTCACCAGACACACTACAGTGGTGCAGCTGTGCCAATCTTGTAGCGCTTCTAGAGTAGACCTGCCCTGAAAGTTGTGTGTGTTTCTCAGGAACTCTCTAGGGGGTGATGTATGCAAATGTAAGAAGGAGAGGATCTTTTGTCTGTTGAGTGCTTGTTATATGAGGACAGTTCAGAAAGACCCAAACTGGATAAAAGAGTGACTCTCAGATTAATGGGGGTGCCTGTTTTGAGCCAAGGCAGTTACGAACTTGTGACCACAGAAGAACCCTTTGAGGGGTTTGAAGGAGTGTTCACCTGCCAGAGCCTTTGTTGGAGTTGGGGTGATCGCTGATAAACTTATTAGCATGTGTGTATGTTTTTACTGTTTTTAATGTCTTCTTAGTAAGAATAAATACCACACTGCTCTTTCCGAGCAAGCAGAACTGTGGGCAATTGCACTGTTAATAGCCTCTGTGGATAAAAGCAAAACAGGCCTGCTTAGGCACTCTGCCTTGCTGGGGACTTCATAATTTAGTCAGGGAACCATGCAGCTTGGAAAACCCGTCAGGAGGGAAAGAGAGACAGGGCTTTGCCCAAGAGTGGTAACAGCTGATGAGCTGGAAGCCTGAAAGTGGGTGCCCTTGCTGGAGTTTGTAATCCTAATTTAAGCCTTCTTTCTCATGCTGTAGTTTCCTCTGATGATCTCTGCAGTCAGCTGAGGAGGCCCTAGACATTCACACAGTCAGACCATATGTTTGTGTTATTTCCTGTTCATAAGTCTAATGACCTATTTCTGTTTTAATTAAAATATTTATTTTAAAATTATTTAAGTAATGACTTAAACCATTTACAACCCCTATCCCAGGGCCTGGCAGTTCAATTCTACTGCAATATTCTTAAAAATCAAGCATTCTTAGCAAGCTAAGCAGAAATGGGAATGGTCAGTATTTGGAAGAGAAAATCAACCTAATGATTATAGGTGAATCAGTCGGTGGTACTCCTCCTCAAAGATCTGAATTTGCACCTACTGAGGTCAATGTCAAATCTCCTATAGACTTCAATAGTGTAGAATCGAGACCTAGATCAGTACTGAATCACTTCCCCTGCACAGTTCTTCAGTATTATTCTCCAACCTGGAGCCTTAGTATGGATTGGAGATTAATCAATTTCAATCAATAAATAATCATTCAGTCTCTTAGACTGTCATGGTCAATAAATATTTAGTCTCCTGAGGGCTACAGCATCAGGAATATTGATCAATATCATTAGAATGAGCTATTAGCGTAGCTGAAGTTGAAGTATCTTAGTTCGATTTACCTGTCTGTCCTCACGGCAATGAGTCGACTACCGCGGCTCCCCTGTCAACTCCGCTTACTCCTCCTGCCAAAGTGGAGTACAGGCGTCGATTTGGGGATCGATTTATCGCGTCTAGATGAGATGCGATAAATCAATCCCCGATACATCGAACACTACCCGCCTCTCCGGCGGATAGTATAGACATACCCTTAGAGACCCTAGAAGCACATGAGAAACGATTGCAATTTATCACACATCCCTTTATTGATAAATCCACTAAGCAGATAAACAATCCCACCAACACTGACAGAGAGAGAGTATTAAGCCCTAGGACTGGCATCACTCACATCTCCTGCTGGGGGACCTTGGAGTGTCAGTCATTATCTTCATTGTCCTCATTAACCATGGTTGGCATCCTGGTGTCTTCCCCCTGTGTTTTTCCACTCCTACCCCAGCACACAGGCCGGACAACAACTTTTGATCCTGAGATATGCTTATGCCTGCTAATGCTCATAGATATGCCTAAGGGGTCCAACCCCTTTTTTCTTATCCATACTTCCATACTCGATTAATTTAGGGGTGCCCCATCTCTTACTGGGTATCTCCTTAGTACCCCTTATTGTCATTAATATTTATGTACCATAGCAACTTGAGGTTATTACAGAATTCCCCAAAATGTTACTATCGGGCATCTTGTGGTATTAACTGGTACATTGTGCCATAGTTTCCAGTCTATTACTGCATAGTTTCCAGATCATCAGTATTTAACATATAGTTTACTGCAATTTTACACTTCACTGGTACAGGATTATCTTTCAGTCAACTAGTCATGCAAATCAGTTTCAGGCCTAAGGCCTTGTGTGGCTAAGCTGAGGATCTCACAGATCTGAGGACCTATGTTACAACATTAATTAATACTTATAGTTCACCTTTATATTCTAAATATACTTAATATCTCTTATTCTTTGCTACAGACTTCATCCTCTGTAAAGGCAGCAGGAGCAGTATTGCTGTACAGATGCCTCTTAAACAAGCTGTGCAAACTCGGGAACTTCTGTATCCCCCACCCCCATAAAACCCCCACAACCCAGAGAAATGGCAAAATCCATGAACCACTATAGCAAACCACTATTCCTAATTGTGAGATCCTTCCTTCTCTTAGCCTCTCATGCTTCCCAGCTCTCAAAGTTGGAGTTTTAACTCCAAGCTCTCAAAGTTCTCAGTGCAATTGGTTCATAGCCATTCACAGGTAAAAAACATAATGCTAAGTATTGGACGGGCATATGTATGTGTGTGTATAAAATGAAAATCACTTATTCTACTGACAAATATACAACCCTCACGATAGTCCAATATGAGTAGAGAGAAGTCCACAGAAACCGGTTAAAGTTCAACAGGGGCCTCCTCAGAGAAATCCACAAAGAGCTCAGCTGCCATAATTGTTGGTCCATGTTGTTTCTCATACCACTGAGTCTTTCCATGCACTAAATTATTTCAGATCTTATCCACCCATTTCTACCTGGAATTAGACCCTTGTCTTTATGCCATCAGGTGACCATATGTTAGTGATCTTATGCGTACAGTCTGAGCCAAATTCTGCTTAGTTTCTCATGGAAGTAGTCACACTGAAGTCAGAGGAACTGTTTGCATTAATAGAGCAAACAAGATTTGGCCCTAGCAAATACTTTGAGATGGAATACCCTTAATATGGCTAAGAAGGGGATAGTGTGGCCAGGTGTCAGTTTTTTGACCAGAAAGTCTGGTCAGATCTACTGACCAGACACCCAAAGTCTGATTACTGTGAGTGAGGGAGGTACCAGGTGATCACCCACACCAGCCTGTACTCAACCGCGGCCACCTCCTACCTGCATCGGGCGGCTGCAGCTCCCAGCCCTGGCTCCGCAGGCAAGTCCCTACTGACCCAGGCAAAGGGGAGTGGAAGGGGGAGAGGGGAAAAGCAATGAGCAACAGGGGAGAGAAGAGGAAGAGGCGCAAATGGTGGGTGAGGCCTTTGGGGAAAGAGGCATGGCAGGGCTTTGGGGGAAGAGACAGGGCATGATGTGGGGAGGGGAGCTGGGGCAGGGGGAGGTTCCGGCAATCCCGCTGGAGTGTCTTCTATTTAAATATTACAAAGTTGGCAACTGTAGAAGGATGCTGTATGCTAAACAGAATAACCCTTAGAATTCTTTCCAGCTTTAGAGCATTTCACTAACTTTTTATCCTCAAACAGGCCTGTGATATAGGAAGTATTAGTCCATTATACAAATGTGAAAACTGAGAAAGAAAGAGGCAAAATGATCTGCCCAACATCACAGAGGGATGGAATAGCAGAGATGGAATAAAACTCGGGAGTTGCTGGCTCCCATTCTTGTGGCTTAACACTTGATCACATCTCCCTCCACTGGGAGGCAACTAAGACTCTTCACCTTTCTATAGGTATTTGGGCTGTAGGAATAAATATATTAGTTCTTTATTATGTTTAGACAGGTTTTTTATATCCTCATTTCTATTTCCATTTCTATTTTATTAAATGTGAATCTCTGAATAATACAGAAATAATGTACAGGTTAGTGGTGTGTAGCTGGCCTTTAAATTCTATAAACTTGTGCATATAATTTATGAAAATCTTGATTTTCATACCAAGCTCAACTGAAGCTTAAAATTAACTTTTTTTAAAAATCCCTATTGTTGTTTGTAATGGACACATGAGCATTCATGCTATAAATTCTTCATTTACCTCCTCTGAATTAATTTAAGTTTCAGAACAAAAAAAGCTATTGAACTGATAGCAGTAGAAGAGGAAATGCTTCCCTGCTATCTTATTATCTCTGTCTTTAGCATATTGGTGAAACATAATTCATAAATGTAAGGACACAGGAGTTATTTGGGTTTCATTAAAAGGGGAAAGGATGTGCATTTTTTTTTCCAAAAGGATTATGACGATGTCATTCAATTTTACAGGGCTTCTTACCAGATTGCAAACTACAGCACCCACAGTACGGACTTTATCAATGTCACACTCCTTGACTCAAAAAGTTCCATGCTCTTTGTGGAAACTGGGGCGACTCAATCATGTAGCAATTGCGGTACCCAATTTGGAGAAGGCCCAGTCTTTTTACAAGAGTGTTTTAGGAGCCCAGGTGAGTGAGGCAGTTCCTCTTCCTGAACATGGCGTCTACACTGTTTTTGTGGAGCTGGGAAACACAAAGCTAGAACTGCTGCACCCTCTGGGAGAAAAAAGTCCAATTGCAGGCTTTCTGCAAAAAAACAAGGCTGGAGGAATGCATCATATCTGCATTGAGGTATTATACACGCATACTTTCTATTATATTTTAAAAAAATCTTTATCTTGTTAAAGAGCTTCATACTTTCTAATAGAGTCAACCTGAATAAAAACCCACATTGGTTATGCTGAGTCATTATCATTTGGGAAATTCTACTGAAGACCAGCAAATAAAAAGTGAAGTTGCAGTATGAAATTCAGGCCAATTTCCCATTGTCATTATACAAGCAGCTTTATTTTATTTTTAATCTGCCCAAACTGAATTTGGCATTTGTAATATCCGGGCTGAAAGAAATGGGGACAAACTTATGGAATGTAGCAATGTCCTGCAAAGGTCACTAGACAGCTGGCAATTTCAGGATGTTCAAAATACATGCACTGGAAAAACCTGTGTGTGTCAGTTTTTTATAGATCACTTATAATGGGGTGCACAAGTGTAAATTAGGGCATAATTTGAAGACAGTGCGGTTTTACCAGAGTTCCTGCATTTGATATTTAGTTGAAAATTCAATATGCAAGTCAGAAAAGAATCCCGGGAAAACACACAGAGCTGTGTTTGGTTCTCAGAGATGAGAGTAGTAAAATCTTTTTTCAGGTAATCAGAGATGAATCTGGATATTCACAGGGAGTAGAACTACTGAGCAAGGTGGTGTTTGTTTGGTTTTTTTACAAGTACTTTTCAGAATAGAATCAAAGTTAAGTCATCACAATATACACTT